CGGGAAATTTATTTCGCGAGCGCGACGATGAACGTCGGGGTGAATGTTATCGAGAGGCAAGGGAACAAAAAAAGAACGTTGTTGAAAATCGACGCGTCGGGAATTATGTCGAGAGTAACGGGTTGGCGAGAAAGAGAGCGAGAGGGAGGGAGAAGAGAAGGCTTTTGAAGCGCGGAAATTTATTCTGCGCACCGGATTTCAGCCGGAACGCGCGTTCAACGTTTCATTTCGGGGAAACAAATGGAAACGTCTGGACGATGTTGGCCAGACCAGACGTTCCGCCATCGGGAACAGCGTGTCGGGCGTCAGCAAATAGCCCCAAAGCGTTCGAATCGTGCTTTCTCTTCTCTGCCGATCGCGCTTTTGCCAACCAACCATACCCAGCCGGTTCTCCTGTCGCCGCACCAATTTGATTGCTTCTCCACCAGTGACAGGTAATACCTTCGCGAGCGTTGTCGCGAAATCCCGAACGCCGTTAAACACAGCGCGGCCAATATTCCTTGGCGTTTTTCCAACATTTTTCCGCGACGAAAACTTGTTAAACGTCCCAACGAAACCACCTTTCATGTTCGAGTAGAATTTTATACGATTTATCGGTATTTCACTTGACTAATATTTGTAATTTTAATGTATGTAATTAATTCGAATAGATTAAATTTCATAGCACCGTTACACCGGTTCACCGTTGACCCCATCACGGTAGCGAACGCGTTAATACACACGATTGATATCGTTCAAGTTCAGCATGTGGTCTACCATGGAAATTGTGCATACATATATTCAAAGTTGAAAGGGGGTTAAAGGGCACGGCGATTGTTCGGTATAGTCCCGAATTGAATTTGTAGCGAAACGGATTGCAGGGGTACAAAATATTTGTGGTAGACGCGCAATTAACTCGACGAGCTGAAAATAGGGGTTGAGAGATGAGAAAGGGGAAGGGGTGGTGGCAAGAGAAAAGGTAGACGAATATACGTATAGAGGTTGCTTACCTTCGCGAGTCACTGCTCGACGAGCACATAGGACGCAGTCGTCGGTCGGTTAATGCGAATTTCACGTGCATAGAAGAAAAGAGAAAGAGAGAAAGGGAACAGGCGAACCGCAGGAAGCGATGCCAGGCACGTAGCATTTTAAAATGGCAAGGGAGCGAGAGGAAAGGGCGTTGCGCAGACGACAGCGTTTCGTCCTTCGTGCGAGTAAAAGCTCCGACGATTTTTTGCCTTTTCCCGTCTGTGTCTATACTCTTTTCCAACCCTTTCTTTTGCTTTCCTTCTCTCCTTGTTTTTTTTTTACTCGACCACCGCGTTGGCCACTGTTCGCTGCTCGCGTTTTCCCACCCCTTTCGATTGCATCGTATTTCCATTTCTTTCGGGGTGGTGTAAAGAGAAGAACAAACAACGCTTACAGGACGAGAATACCTTTTATTATAGAATCGCTCGAAAATTTGCAACACAAGTGGAGGGAATGTTTGTCAACGGTCCGCGAAACGGTATTACGGCAATCCCTAAAGGTGACGTAATCTTCGCTTTCAATTACATCCGGCCAAACGAAGATTCTCCGCGTGCAATTTACGTTGCCAGTCTCACCGTGTATTATTTCGCGGCGGAATGGAGCTTTCAGCCGCGAAGCAGCTGTCAGACGGAGGCAGCCGAGTGGAAAGAGAATTTCTGAGAGGCGACCTACGAACACGATAGCAGTAGTCGTTCTGAACGGTTGGCAACTGCATCTACGCCAATCGGGCTATCTTTGTTTCCCGTTGAAAGCTACCTTGTTCCACTAACGGCAACAAGAAAGGACTTGCATACGCGTGGCTCGTGTGTAACCTCAAACCAGCCATCCACCTGGCTCCGTTTATGAATTTTTCTCTTTTTCATCTTGTCTCTTCGATCAGATGCCTCGTTCTCCTTCATTACGAGTCTGTTTCGATCTTCGAAACTTTCTAAAACCTTCGTTAAGATCGTTAAGTCATCATTTTGATGTTAGCTTTGTTGTCATTGAAGACGTTATTTAAGAAGACGAGGTGTTACAATCGCGTATCTTGTTACAATTTCTCGAATATGTAAATGCTTGCCGTCCACAGCAACGAGCTGTAACGGTAAAAGATGATATTTTTCCCTGTTACGATTTGCCTTTTTCTCCTTCTTCCCTCGTTTCTCTTGGAGTCGTTGTCCATTATGCTTGCATGTATGCGCGTGCAGAGGGAAACCCGAGGATATAACGATGGCAAGGTGGGTCGTTTAAATCCCTCTTCATCCCCCGGCGTATCGCAACTCCGACGATATTTCATTCCTTGCGGTGTACTGCACCCGTTCCGCATAATATCAAAGGGAAGCTCGAAAGCTCGAAAGAACAGAATGACTCCGGACGAAAATCCTTCCAAGCAAGAAACTCTTCTCGTGCATCGACCGCTGAATTTTCCGGCTAACGTTTCTGGCCTACAAACCTTTTCTTCTTCCTATTCTACCCTCTTGAAATCATAAAAGTGTACTCTTTATAATTTTTTTTTTTTTTTTTTTTAATTACTATTTATCGAAACTGGCTTTATCGATGATTGAAATTCACTTTGATTACGCAAACGCGGCGAAGCAGATACGTAGGTTGTCGGAGTCGATCGAATTTCTTTGGACGTAAGAAGCTTAGCCCGGACGACGAGGATGGTGGGTGGCCTGGTTTTTCCAAGCTTTTCTGTCACCGTTGAAAGAGCGCTCGCGTTTGATCGTCTTTTTTTTGCCGTGTTGGATTCTTTTGTGCTCTTTCGGAGCAGCAGCATAAAAAGACGCGTCTTGCTCGCCATTTTCATCGGGAGAACCATTTACAAACGTGTCCAGCCGCGGAGCAAGCTGGATTGTCGCGTAATAGTTACAAATGGATCTTTCAAAATTGATATGTAATTTCGTGATTATTTCTTCGCCCGTTCGTTCGACGTAACGAATCGTAGTGTCGAGAGCGTTAAAAGTGTACGGTCGCTAATTTTGGAGCCGAGGCACGAAACCAAATTTTCTCGTGACGCGTTGCTAGCGAGGTAAGCAATCTTTGGCCATGCTTTACACACGTACAAGCAACGTTATTCGTCGCGCTTCGCTTGCCAACTGCCGAGGTTCTCTTACTCCCTCGCTTTGCTTCTATTTTCCTGCCGGCATAAGACGGCCATTAAATAAAGTTTCACCCTTGCAGCGCTACTCTTCTTCCCACCGTATTTTCTGCTCTTCTCAACTTCTTCCTCTTAACCGAGACGAAGCCGTATCGTATTTTCTTTTTTTTTCTTTTTCTTATCCTTCTACTCCCAGAAGAAATCTACGAAGCGTCCTTGATTAAAACTCATCGGACGTCCTCTTGTTAATTCACTCGGATCTTAGCCGATTTACTTTTTTAAACGACCATCAATCTGTCCCTTTACGAGACACGTTGGAGAACCACGAGAAAAATAATCTCAGTATCGAACAGGTGCCTTATTCGCAACAAAAGCAGAAATTTGTGATCACGTTCCAATGTTGGAACAGTCAACAGCAGTTTCGATATAAAGAACATGGTTACGTAGTGAACTTCAATAGAACTTTCTGGCTCGTTTCTATTTTATAAAAGGCAATCGAGCCAAGAATTTGTTGCTTCTTACCGCATAGATCAACGATTCAAGTAGAGCGAGTGGTTAGCGGAATTTGTGGGAATTTGCGTCAGAACCAGGTGGGTTCGATGTTAACGACGCGGTGCTTGCGTTACGAGCGCCTATATTCGCGCGTTTTACGATGTCTTCTTCGATGGTTTTACTGCAAACGAATGCGTTAGCTCAAACGACGGTGGACGACGATTAGCGTTGAAAAGGGATGAGTTTTCGAAGCAAGAAATAGGAGGGAGGTCTAGCGAAAGAAGAGGCGCGAGGTCTGGCTGGAAGACCCTGACCTGGTCACCTAACCGTTCTTCTCTTTCTTTCTCACCGTATCGCGTTTATGTCGTCTCGGTGCTCGGATCGGGTGCTCTGGCACGTAATTAACCAGACACGGTAGCCTTTTCTTCTCACAAAAAGACTGACCAAATCTTTGTTAGATCGAAGCTTTACAACTTGAGCGAAGTTGGACGATCTTCGTTTGATACTAAAAGACTTTTGTCTCGTTTAGTGATTCGGAAAAGATTGGAAATCGAGCGTGTAGTCGTTTCCCATCGTTTTCTTCGCCCTTATCGATCCCTCGTTGTCTCCGAGGCTGGTCGATTAATCCTGTCGCTGGTCGGAGAGGAAAGCGAGCGTAGTGGTCGCGAGCTTGGCTCGAATTAATGATTTTCTTCGAAAATTGCACTCTCCAGCCACGATGCATCAGGTGCTCGTTAAAGAACCGGCTGGTAGCGATCGCGTTGGTTGTTCGTCGTTCGGTTAGAAAAAGGGTCCCGGTGTGAACAAATGGTACGTGATTTATAGCGCGCTCATTAATCACGTTAAGGTTTCCCCGTGCCTTCTCCGCCTCCTTATTAAACCACGATTTGATCTCATTGTCCCCGAAGACAAAGGCGGACGCGTCTGGATCATAAATGCGCACTCGAGCCTGTTGTCTTGTCTATTATTGTCGCTACAACAATATGTAACCGGTGCAGTGTGTGCATCTCCGTCGAACACGAATCTCTCCTCGCGGAGAGAAGAGGCATCGTCGTAAACTTGCTACCTACTGTTACGCCACATTAATTATGATTGCTTGTGTCCTACAATAACTTTGCTCTCCAGTTTCCACGATCTTCTCTGAAACGTTTACACCCGTGAAAGCTAATTTTCAGGAATAAACTTGAGGAATTTTTTGCAACGCCCCGCTTCTCCAGTAAGGGTAGATTGTTTAAATCTCCGAGAGTAATTAAGAGTTCTTTCTCAAATAGAATCCCTCGTAATCTTTTTATTCGAAGAGGTGATAACCTGTTTTATAAATACGCGATTAAATTCAGTTGCAATCAGGATCGAAATATTTCGCGTACTATGTTTATTGGACAATAATTTATTAATGATTCTTCGTTTTGAATGATTTCAGGTGAACCCTGATGCCCGGGACAGCACGACGCAGCAAATCCAATCTAAACTAGGCAACTATTCACTGGTGAAGCATCTGCTGGACGAGCCTAAACGGCTGATCGGTATCGAGGGTGTGCCACCGAGTCCAGCCCCATCCCCGTCACCCTCGTCCCTTCGAACGAGTTCCAGTTCGATCGGTACGAATTCCAGGAGCTCGCCGTCCTCCCAAGAATTCAAGAAACCCGGAGGACCGAGGACCAGCTCGTCTTCGTCCTCATCGTCGAGCCATCAACGTGGTGGTTTCGTGAAACCAGCCGACGGCAAGCCACCGTACGGTGGCAGGGGTGGTTACCCTGGCCAACCGGTGAAGCACGGGGGTAACAGCAACGATCATCGTAGCCACGGTTTATTACCGGCCAAAGGACCGCCCCCGAATTCACCCGGGAACGGTACGCTCGTTGGCAATTCGAATATCGGGAATTCCAACGGCGGCGGCAGGCTTCACTCTGCCGGCAACAGACTGTCCAGGTTAACTCTCGATAACGTGAGTATCGATTTCCATTGTTTCGTGCAACTACCTCCATTCCCAACCACTCCTCCGCGCCTACTTCTTATTCTTATTTCGTTTCCGGCTTTAGGATACGTGAGTGTAAAACTCGCCCGAAAAAGGTATCGAGAGTGTATCTTGCAAGTGGACAGCGTTCCAAGAGTCACTCTCAGCACGGTATCCACTTGAGCAGGATAGAGTGGCGTTGAAAACGAGTCAAATGATAGCCATTCGCTAACCCCTCGGTAATCGTTTTATTAACGCTCCTCGATCGACTTTTCTTCACCCAATTTATCCATTTATTATCGAACGTAACTGTGTAGCGGTTCTGTGCGGGAACAGAATCGTTGGTGCACTTGTTGCTCGGATCCAGTACTTTGATCGGTGTTTACGCGATGACAGAGGTTGGTGAAATTAGAAGATCGATCGCGTGGAAGATTGATCGAGAAATAATGGGGTGCTGTCGATATTAACCCTTCAGGTATTACGGGCTATTGTGGTGACTTTAGTCTTTATCCTCCATTGAGAGTTGCTAGGTAATCTCGTCATTGTTTTCCTTTTTTTCTATTTACTTCGTAAAATTGAAAATTTCAATAAAGAATATAATAGTAACCGTGTGTTTAAAATTTGCGTACGAAACGGCGGAGCCGGGCACCGTTCGTCAAGGTTTAATCGGGGAGAAGCGACAATAAAGAGGTTATTAGGGTCTCTCGCGTTCCATCGAGCTGTACGTCGAGGGGGATGGTATTCGAGGAGAGCATCGCGGCGACAGGTTCGTTGACAGGAAACGAATTGCTTTTCAATGGAAATCCCGTTGGAGGAGTGTACACGAACGAGAAGGGGAATAGTGGGGGCGAGTTTGGTCGAGCCCTATTACCCGTGACTCCTCGAGGTGCAAATTTCATTGAGATTGACTATCGATCGTGTCTTCTTCGCCGATTCAGTCTCTGCCACCACGTTCTCCTCGAGAGTGCCTCTCTCTTGGTGTACTTATACAATTAGAGCTGGCTGTGGAGAAACGTCGACATCCTCTTTGCTCTATCGTACTCCGTGAAAATTCATTCCCTTGACGCTTTACCTTTCTTTTTTTTCTTTTCACCCTCTATTCTTCATTCGTCTCTTCTTCATCATTCTTCCCATTCCACTTTCTTCTTTCTCCATTGTTCAATCGTTCGTTCACGAGTCGTTTGCCGTTCGCCGTTCGTTGTCATCCGCGAAATTAGCTTGAAATTGCAGGTACCAAATGGAAACGAAGAATGACACGCTGTTACGTTAAAAATTGTACGGGATATTTAAAAAATAATGGCCATAGGTTATATTATACCGTTTTACCATATTTTTGGTAATCCCGGCGCGTTTAGTCCTCTCACTCTTATCGTTTTCAATCTTTCTCGGCTTGATTCACGCATTTTCTTCTCCCATTGTCTTGGTGTTTCCCTCTTAGAAATGACTACTCGACATTATGCTCGTAATAGCCCCGCAGCCGGCTGTCTCGACGCTCTTTTCAACGCCTCTTTTCCTCGAGAGAGCGTTGATTAATGATCGCTCGAGAGCTCGTGATAAATCGCGGAAAGGACTTCGCGAGAGTTTCAGCTACGCGAAAGAGAAAGAGTAAGAGAAAGAGAGATGCTGATTTGTCGTCGAAATCGAATCGTTTTAATTAACGCGTGTGCGCGTCGAACGAGTTTCGAGCCTCTGACTCGATTATCGTCGTTTAATTCCATCAACGCATTATTCGCTCGATTCTTGGGGAAAAAATGTACAGCTACTTGTAGAAGGAAATAAAGACACTCTTTCGGATATGTTTCAATTCCTATATTGCGATGTGACATTTAAATAAACTTTCTCGAGTCGTGTGTCCGCTCTTAAACCTGTATTCTGAGACAACACGCTTCGAGGAAAGAACAAATATCTTTTTACCTAAGAAAAATATTGTTTCGGAACGTGAGAATTAATTTACTTTCCACGAGTCATAATTTGTTGGTAGTAGAACACCCTTGCCTTAGGCAAATACGACTGTAAAGGGTTAATCTATTCGGATTGAAATGCACGAGTTTCCAAGGTATTGATTACGAAAGGGTTTTGATAGTACTTGATTGAAGTGGATGTTAACTAGTCGATGGCTGACTTGTAACTCACTGACAATGCTTCGAGACCCTGCGGGGATGTTGTTAGGGGTGGGCTGGTCGGTTAAGTTGTCTAGCAAAGTGTTTCGGTTCAGAAGGGGTCTCGGGTTAGCATACATAATTGGATAGAAAAATCGTTAAAGAAATTAATTGATAGAAGATTTCTATCTATGTTTCAGGGAACAAATTCGAGGCCTGGTCCCACCGAGAATTCGGCAGATGTTGAGAACATTTTGAAGGTGAGTAAACCATTAATATAATTATTTTTATTATTAAACGACAGTATTCTACTGTGTATAATGGTAAATGTGAAACTTTGTTACGAGTTTGACTGCCGTTCGAAGTTCAATCGATAAGTCAATTTTCTCATCGATACAACGCTATCTGTCTCGCGGTTATATCGTGGCTGTTGTTGGATCAAATCGACCTATCGTTTCGGTCTGCTCGTATCGACTTTCGTCACCATCGCTCGAGCGAACAATTTCGCACCCTTCGAGCACCGGAAACTTTGACGTCCATTAACCCTTTGTGCTCGGCAATTTTTTGCATCTTTGCTCTCTATAGCTAGGTATTAAATTGAAAGGAAATTGACGTATGAGCGTATTGATTTTTCGAAAATTTTTAGAGGGTAAAATAGTGTGTAGCTTTCGCGAAACCTTTTCAATTTCTAATCGAAAATAAAGGAACAAGGAGTGCGATGAAAGACGATCGATTCGTCAAAAAGTATTTAGTACCGGAAGGATTAAAAGCGAAGAAAGTGGAGTTTGCGGTCTGTCGACCGATCATCGATTTTCTGACTAAACTTTCGATTAGTTTCATGGTCGTGTCCGTGGATTTACAGTCTCGAAATAACTCGAATCGAACTTACGCCTCAAGGATATACCTCTATAAATAGAGGGGCCGTTTTGACGTCGACTAAGTCGTCAAACAATTACTTTTTCCTGTGGAAATTCATCTCTGATACGTGGATATTCGTTGCAACGAATTAATAATTAACGTTTCCTGCTATCTTCCGTTTCTAATTATTCGCTTCGAAAAGGCTATCCCATCGCGATGCGATCGAGTTCTCCGAGACAATGACACTTGATTGGTCATCTACTCCGAGCTACTCGAGACTGCGAGTCGATCGATGTCAGCCACGAGGAATCAATCTTTCCAGCACGAATAAATGATTATTCGTCGCGAGTGCCGTCTCGTGAACTCGTTTCCACCGGTGCAGAGCATCGAATCTCTGATACACGTTGCAATCGGGTTGATAAACTGCCTGCTGACCTAGTTCTATTCGTGAATAGAGAATAATGATGGCACGGGAATAAATGGGTGTTGTGGGAGTCTAGGAATCTAGGATCTTCCGGACAGACATCGACAAAATATCTGGATTCCTTGAAATGCTTATTGTTTTTTTTTTATTTTTTCGACGGCTCCTATATCTCACATGACAGTAAATTAAACGCGGATACCACGAGCCGATAATAGTATTTAGAGTGTAATCATGTAATACATTGTATTTCTTTAGCAGCTAATATCCGTGATTTTAACTCATCCGTATAACGAGATTTTCTATAGAACGGTTCTGGTTTCGGGCTCGATAAAAGCTGTCAGGGCTCACCAGCCTGCAGTGTTAATTTATGGACACGGCTTAACAGCGATTATCAGTGAATTGATATCATTATTGGGTTGCAATATTGTGACACGCTTGATCGAGTATCGAGATACAGTGCCGGCGATAAATGTCCTTGCGCATGTGTCCGCTGTCGATGGAACGCGATTAATACCTTGTCGATAGGTGTTGTAGGTCGCTAGGCCTTTTAGCTATGCCCCGGGAGAAAGACGAAATCCCTCGACATTTGCAGGATCAGATTTGATCCTGTCGTATTATTTCCACTCGAGTGCCGCAGTAGAAAGAGCAACGCATAATCAGAGGCAAGTATTTTATCTTTTTAAATCTGAAAATCAAAATTTTGTGCTTCGAATTAGCCATTTAATTTGATCGGGGTTGAAAATTTCATTTCTTCATGAAATATGCCATCGGCATCGACGGAATCTAATGCGTGGGTCAAAGTTTGAGATTCACCAGAGAGTGGAGCATTCATTCGCAGTGTATCAGTGGAGAAGAGCGGTGGACGTAACCGTTCTCCAAGCTTTTCCACTTTCAGCTCGAATTTATGACGATAGCCAGCGAGCAGCGGCCAGTCGGTGTTCTAGCTCTGGCCACGTCCTCTTCCCCCGGGTTTCCGCTGCATCCTCCTTCCACTTTGCTCTGGCCGTTTGGTATAGAAGCACCGTCGAGGCCCATGAATTATTCTCACGGCTCTGGCCGTGGGAAAATACGAGAGTTGCGCCAGTAGGCATCGTAAATGTGGCTGCTAATTGCGCTCGCCGACGACGACGACGACGACGACGACGACGACGACGATGACGATGACGACGACCACCATCGCCATCCTCCTATCTACCGACCTGCTCCTGAATATCACCTATTTTTAGTCACCGTTATCATTAAGGATGGGTCGAATTGAATACGAAATTTTCACTTCGTAGAATTCGAATGCTACTCTTGATAAGCGATGTTTTATTAATTTCAAATATATTTGTATCTCTTCGGTTTTTATTTCTTCTATCCTTATGACCGTCTCTATTCGTCGCCGATTAATCGAGAGATTTTCAGCTTCCATTACGGTCGGCCGGACTAGCCGGCTAGCCTGCGGGGATATTTAGCGTGCAAACTCTTCCCTGACGATCGTCGTTGCCGCGTTCGAGCCTTTTTTTTGTAGCCAGCTTAAATTCGATTCCCGTGTAGCCTCCGATAAATCGCGGGTAATCCACTTTTCGTGCGAGCACGGCTCGTCGACCTCCGCTTTCGATCCACGAAACTACTTCGGTATCTATGGAGATTTCGATCCACGTTTCATACTACCTTGCTCCTTTTCTTTTTACGTTTTCGTCGAGCGTAAGCGTGGCTCGTAGCGTATAATGCGAAGACAATTAGGCCGAGTTAATAGGGTTAATTTGAGGTTGATCGAGTTAACTAGCAGCCGAACACTCGACTCGACCTGTTCCCTGTCTTCAGGCTACGCACCTAAGAAGATTTTGTTAGGAAGTTTCATAGTTGTCAGGATAGAATATAAGTTGCAAATTTTCCATAGTAAAAGAAAAAAAAGAATTAAAAAGTATTACTTTGCAATTTGAGGTTTTATTTTCAAGTAGTTGAAGCGTTTGACTTTCGAGATGGTCTGTTTGAACAGAGTGCATCAGCGATTGTATAAAAGTAATCGAGCCAAAAACTTTCGGACTTTACTACTACGTACATTTGGAGAGGATACGCTGGATGGGGGTTGAAAGGGGTGGGTGGCACTCGTTGCATCGAGCTCTGTCGAGTGCAACGTCGAAGGGGAAGAGCAAGTGCATCGCGCAAGTGCAGTCCCACGAGTCCTCTCGAAGAGATGTTTCGCGGAACATTGTTACGCTCGCGTTGCGATACGAGATAAAAATATCTTTGGCCCGGCGTGTATTTTCCTGAAAATCCGACGAGTCTCCCAGGCGTCGGCAACCGCCGTTTATCCGACGGTATAACCGACCAGGATAATATTTATCCTGCGAACGAGTCGGCGATCGATGCGTTTTAAAATCCAGCCAAAATAAAAGATCTCATCGCCAGTCCGACGAGATGGAACAATTTTATAGGCGGAATAATTTAATTAAAACTTCAATAAAATCATCGATGATGATTAAAAAACGCGTAAGCATTTTATGACTATCGAACGATAGGATATACGAGGCCGCGGTATGGAAATGGAAAACGTTGAATATAGTTCCATCGGTCTGACCGCGAATTTTCATCGAAACTCGTTGGAAACGATGGTCTTTCAGCTACTGTTGCCGCTCCATTAAACGCGTACACGACGGGGAAAGGCGAGTACTGGTTGCAAAGGAAGAGGGGAATGAGGGCCACAAATGCGTTACCCGCGAGTTTCCTCGGAGCAGCCACTGCATCGACTATCGACTACCCGCTAACGGGTTTTCGATCCTTCTCACGTGCCCCGCATAATTAGCAGCGAACACCTTCAGCGCAACTGTGTCAATTTCAATCATATTACTTTTCCACCACGGTTAGAAATAAAGGACTTTTCTAAATACGCACGATTTTTTTTACTCGTCGCAGTCACGCTAAGGATCATCGAACCCCTTTGTTCTCTCGCCTGTCAAGAATAAATAATTCAGCGACTGTCGCGAGGACGGTTGATCTTATCGTCGGCATCGGGCTCGCGAAATTTTAGGAACGTCGCGTCGACGTCAAATGCGTCCAACTGATCCATTTTTTTTTTTCTTTTTTCTATGAGGCGTTGAATAATTCAGAAATTGCAAATCGGAGCACTGCGTGCAGGGATGCGCTCCAAGATGCGAATTAAATTCGAGATCAAGGGGTTAATTTGTGCAATAAAAATTTATTAACTCGTAACGAAGAGTGCAGATTATCGAACGGTATCAATCTTTTTTTCTTCTTGATCAGGTACTCGTGAACACAGTGGTTGATCCCGTAATTCGTGATCGCGTTTCGTGATCCACGCGAATAAACCTCTTCATCACGGTTTGTATAACTGGTTCGCACGAAATAGTAACGTCGATAGCGGAGAATTCTCTGACTCAGCCCCAGGAGAATTCTCTCCTCTTGGCAAACGCGTCGAAACCGTTTTCGTTCGGCGAGCCGCGAGCAAGCGGCGCGATGCAAATTCTACGGATTTCGTACACGAGTCACGCGTGTCTCGAAGCTGCACACGACCGAGCGAGAATAATAAGTTGCGATTAACGACAGATCGGGTTCGTTCGCTTCATTTCGTTCTTTTTTTCTGTTTTCTTTTTTCTCCTTTTTCATTTGCGCCTGTCTCTCGCGCAAATCCCCGAATCAACTAGCGACAGATTATTCTGCATTTCAATCGCGTTTTGTTTCGTTTCGTTTCGTTTCGTTTCGTTCCGCTCGTATTTTCTCGTTCTTCGGAGAGAAACTGGTACAGTTTATTTGAGATCATTTTTATTTTGAGAAAATTTATTATTTAACAGGTAATTGCTAGATAATTAAATAGAGAATACATATTTAGATTGAATTTTATAATTGTATCAACGCGTCTACGGTGTTTGGACGTGCAAACATATTCATAGCACTTAAAAGATTAAAGCGGATTCGTAACGTGTCGCGTGCGCGATTTTCGTCCGCCGAGAAGAAATATGGAGCGGAAAAATATCGAAACGTTAACTGGTAACGATGTTCCGCCGTACGTTTCCGCTCGAAGGATAACTCTGCCATTGCCGTGCACCGTTATATTCACGACGCGCCGAGTTACATTATGCATGATCGTAGAACGATCCACTGTGGTTGCATTTTATTCTTTTTTCCCCGCTCGCGGTAGATATACATATAACAACGATATTTCGCACACCGTCCCGCGATGTTTTCGCGATCAATGCGAATTTCTCGACTCGATTGATAAACGTTAGAAACGTACGGTGAATAATTTCTCGGTGATCATAAAACAAATCGATCCCACTGTTTCAAGATTTAAGCAGTTTTTTTTAAAAATGATTTTCGAATAAACTTCGTGTACTGTAAATAGTTAGAAGAGTAGTCCTTAAGCGAAAGTAGCTAGTTCCTCGAAGTTTGAACGTGAACGGTGACGAAATTGAGTCGTTCTGGTTGACGGTTCGAACGAGGAAATATGTACACGAATCGGTGTGTAGGTCACTGGGTCGAAGATCTGTTTCAAGTTATACGGTAGGGTGCCAAGGACCCGGGCCAGATTCCCAGTTGATCGCGCGTCAAAGCGACAACTCTCTACGGCACACGACACGAGGCGTCGCGACGTGTGAGAAAATGCAAGATCCTCTGTCGAGTACTTTCTCGTCTAGCGTGTGTGTCAGAATCGAAATAAATTTCATTTGTTAAAGCTAACTTTGATGGAAATTTTTCGTAGAATTCGTCGCGTAAGGTAGGAGATCGTTGGTAAACAAGTTGTGCGGTTGATCGTAGGAAGAACATAAGCACGGTAGACGAGAAAGAGGCGAGCCTTTTGTCTCGTCGCTCTTTGTTCCCGTCGACGGATGTCTCGACGGGTCAATGAATCGGTCTCGACGATTCGCCCGGTGGAAATGCGTTTCGTTCGCTCCGCTATGTGCGCCTCTACACACCAGAGGCTGCATTGTTCGCGTGTTTGCGACTTCTAGCCTGCTCCTCCTACGGCGACAGTGTGGGTGAACGCAAAACCGCGCGCGAACCGGCGTTAATAGACGCGAGTTCCGAGTACCTGCTCGCAACCGCTGATCATACGTGGAATTAGTAGACCTCTTCCTCTCTCTCCTCTTCCTCTCGGCCGCTCATTGACGTAATCGTGGCCCAGATGCGACCGGTCTTACGCAAAAGAACCCGTGTTGCGGCTTGCACAACCCCTGGCTGGGTGACGTTCACGCTGGATGAAAGGAAAAGGGTCAGCTTTTACGCGAATTACGCGCAAAGGGTACCGGTGGAGTTTGTTCGATGGACGGACGCGTGCTTTGCTACCTTTTTGTAGAAAAAGTACGATTTAGGTATTGAAAGGGGGTTCGAGATTGACGGTGATTGAACTGCATGAATTTTTTAGAGTTTCCGACACCCTAAATATATTTCATTGCCTTCCAGGCAGTGAAAGCAATCACAGCAGCGAAAGTGTTAAACTCGTCACTCGATTCGTCTCGTTTACACTGCGAATGCTAATCGAGCATCGATCGTCTGTTTCAGGAAATGACCATGCCACCCACGCCCCTCACGGCTATAGCCCAGACACCGAGGAAGGAACTCGAGTCGAAGTTCACGTTCAACCCTGTCCTGGCGAAGGTGAGAATTTCATTTTTATTTAAATAACTCCGCGGGGTATTTGGCTCGAGCGAAACCGTTGCAAGGCTGCCAACGTGTCTGAACGAACAATATACATCAGCCTTTATACAAGCGCGAAGAATCGAACGATCGTTTGTTGGAAAGAAACGATACATCGTGCAGTCTCGGTAGGAGACGCGTATCGATCGTGGAAACGTTTCGAATCGCATCGAGCAGAGTATTTCGTGCCACTTGGCACAACGTCAAGAAGCTCGTTCTCTTGTCGAGACGGACGCCTTTCGTTGCGGATAAAGCGGCTTCCTCGCGCACACCGTCGTCCATCCTTTCGTTACATAAAACGCGAACGTCAGTGTAAACGCGGAATTTCGGTTTCTTCCTTGTACACGCGGTCGTTGCTGGCCACAACTAAATACCCGACGTTCGTTCGTTCGTTCGTTCGTTCGATCGATCGATGTTGGCGTTCCCGAGGTTTCGTGCCACTTGGCATCGTGTCAAGAGTTTCGTGCTCTGAAAAGCCGCGACGCGGCTACGGAGAAGCAAACGAAGAAGAGCGAGCTTGTTGGCGAGCACGGAGGAAGAATGGTTCGCGAGATGCACGGGACTAGCTAAAGTATTCGAACGGCATCATGCTTCAAGCTTAAATGTAAACAAATTACACAATACACGCGAGAGTGTAATTGAGAATCATTTAAACGTTTCTTATTGTGTAGTAGTACTTTAGAACTATCAACGTTTCTATACCTATTTTCGATGCAATGTTGAAATTTCGAATATTTTCACGAGTCCTTGTATATCAGTTTAAGGAGGATTAATTTCGGTTAGCCACGCCGCAACGTGTCCTTTTTTCGCGATAACACGCGCGACGTTACCTTTTTTCCCGCGACCCTAGGTTTCTCTCCGACGATGGAGCACCACGATTAATTGAAATTTGCGAGACCACCACTGGCCAGCTTGCACGCGACACGTACGCTGTAAACGCTTTGGTCGACGTAATTTTTCAAACGAATGGTGCCCCGGTGTACTTCTGCCCTCGAATTTTATCTTTGTTAAAACGCTACGTTGCGCTGTCCGTAAGAAATCTGCGTTTCCAAGTTTCAATCGAACCCATTTTATTGACCATAGTTTCTTTTGTTTGCAGTTGACTGAAGTGACGCCGCAGGAAACCGCGAAGCCTCGTAAGTAAAACTTCCTCACGTGTATTCTGCTTGTTTCGGGGGGGTAATCCTCTGACGAGTGAAAATGTTCGATGGCGCGATCAAACCGGGAAACCCTGTTACGTGTTCAACTTGAACGTAACTCTTGCTTGCGCCTATACGCCTATGCGCCGGAAAGCTATCCCATTACGGAACTGACGGTAACAAGCTTGTTAATAGAGTCAGCTAAACGTTCTTGGATACGTTTGAACGCGACAACGCGCTTTTAACCCTTTCGCGGCGATCATCGCGACGCCAGGAATTTTTTACTCGTACATGGTTAAAATATTTTTATTGACCGATTAAAAGCGTATCCAGTAAACAAAAGTAAGTATCGTCGAGATAAAAGATTGAATCGGCTATAAAATAAATGTGTCGGAATTTTCAATCCCTTCGACACGGGGGTCAAATTGTTAAATTTAAAGTTATTAACAGACGGTTAACGTTCGTGTAATTCGTTACGCAATTAATTTAGACGAAACAATTTTTATCACCGCTATTATTCTTTGCGAAGCCGGGTTTTGGTAGCGACGAATACCGAAAACGGACATTTCGAAACAATTTAATTTCTCTGCTTTCTCTCGCTCTTTTTTTGTCCCGTACGCACGACAATAGGCACGCTGAAACGACAAAACCGCCGGGGCTAATTTAATAGGTGCGTTTGTAACGTTGTTCGAGGATGGTCGGAGTGGTGGCGGGTCGGTTTTAGCTCGTATTCTTTCGACAGAAATATTTTCATAAAACTGCAGCGTTGAAATTATTTGTGGCAGGGGCTCGGTGGAAACAAAGTAGCGTGGCCCATGGCTAAAATAAAAATAAAAAAAGTAAAAAAAAAAAAAGGAGAACCTGTGGATTCATTGCGATCCGCAAAAACCGTGAACGTCAATTTCCAGCCGCGTTTCACAGTCACTGACCTTTCCCATTAACTCCACGTCCCGGGTAATTTATATTTGACTCGCGATTCCACGTATACACGTGCGCACAACATATACGTACGCGTGCATACAGAACGTGGGGGGAAAATATATTTCGACGACGCGTGGAAAATTTACGTTACACTGAGTGCGCTTCGATAACTGTTTACGTTAAACATCTGCACATATTTTCGAGAAAATATTATTCTCGTTCGTCGGTTCTCCGGTACTAAACGAAATTTTGAACTGAACGGCCACTTTAGTCCGTTTATAGATTCCTTATTGTGGTTATCGAGCATTCGATTCATTTTATACCTGGATCCTCGCGTGCCTGAGGGACGATCGAATTAACATAGAAACCTTATTTTATAGTATCTTCTCACGAGCGACGGACATCTGATTATGAAAAGAAGAACGAAACCACCGTGGTTGAATCGTCTAATTTTGTTTAGAAACACTGTTTTCTTCGGAAGTAAATTGTCAAAGTAGATTGTTTTCGGACGAGGAAAAACCTGTGGATTCATTGATATTCGAACGTTTTTAAACGGGCTGCAGGACGGTTTGGGAGTGGAAAGTGGCTGAGGGAGAAGCAAGGGATACTGTTTCATGAATTAACCATTCGACACGGCGGCCCTTCCTTCGAATACACCGGCCACTTTGCGGCGCCTATTATAGGGCAGCTCGCGTTCATCTACCTACCCTATCGACACACGTTTTCGAGCCACAGGTTACGAGAATCCGATTCTGGTTCAGGTAAATTCGAACTGGTCTTGGCGCCCTGATTAAACCGATTTCGCGGCTTTCACACGCGTCAAATCGAACCCTCGAAAGGCTGTTCTTGATTCCCGCGAACGCGTGATTTCACGCTAGAGCGAGAAGGCGAAAGTAATTGGGCGATTAGGGGAACGCCAGTGTTAGACACTTTTACGGGACGACGGTGAACCGAGCTCGAATCTAATCTCCGAATCAAGAGCTTCCGCTTCCCCTTTGCACTCTTGATTTACCTTCGAGCTAGGTATGTTTCTTCGAAGCCACTTCCCGCCGACTCGGAAGTAACGAAACGCCCACCACCGACATCAGCCATGGATCTTGGAGTGCATTTAATCTTTTCCTGTGCAACGTCAAGTTGGAAAACAGATACCGTTGCCTTCGTTCCAACTTCACCATTTACATCGAGTCATTCTATTTTCTATACAAAATACTTTCAACAAACAACTTTTATTCTTAGTCATCAGGGATAATCAAGATTCGTCACTCTTTTCCACGTGGTCTGGAAAAATCGGAAAAGTTGTAAACACATTCAATTATTGATAACATCTTTGTCGGTAGAGTGAATCCAATGACGCGACGCGACTTTAAAGTGTATAGGCTCTGCTTTTTCAACAGATTTCGAACAAAAGGGTTAACCTTCTCGTGGAGGGTTCCTCTTTATCAAGGAGAACAGACTGAAGGAGGTCTCGAGCTGATTAAGAGGAGGGAACGCGTTAACCAAGTCGGAATTGTAATGCGCGTGCTTGCCGCCTACCGGCACGCTTCCCCGCGGAATTTATCCACCTGTACACGCGTGTAGGTGTTAACGAGCGAGGGTGCCATCGCGTGACCGACGCCTTTCGTCGCGCAACCACGAACCAGGGTAAAAACGACCGATTCCTTTGTCTTTCCTTCAATTCCTGTCACCTTGCAAAGCAGTTAGTTTCCAATGTCTACTTCATGCTAATCAATTGTCCTGAAAATTGATATAGACATTGTTCGTAGGTGCTTTATTTTCTGATTGACATTTGCTAAATTAATACCGTGTTATCCTTTAAATAGTTTATTAAATTTATCAACAGTCATCGATTGAAACTCGTAATAATAGAATATTACACGAATTTCACTCCGATCCACTGCTGCAACTGACAATCAGTTAACGTTTGCACAGTCATTTTCATCAAACTTCAAGCTTTAAATTGATATGTCACAAGTGTTATTTTACGATACCATTTATGTCGTGAAATCAAGTGAGACTGCTTTAATACGCAACAACCTAGTAGTTACACGTGCTGAAAATTTCTAATTCATAGAATTTCGTGCGTGAAATGATCCAGAAAAAGGAACAACAATTTTCTATTTTTTCCCATTGCTGCGACTTTCTGCGTACATATGTACACATGAAAGGATGCAGGCGAAGACGAAGGCGAGCGTATAACACAGCATATAACAAATAACCTCCCAGCATCCCGATGCCTCTTTCCCTCTTTTCCTCGTTCCCTCTTTCTCTCTTCCCGTTTCACCCTCCGTGGTCTGGCTGCATCCACAGTGGCTGCTATCTTCCTAGCCCCTCTGTCTCCTGTTTCTCCCCTCGCTCAGCCACTATTTTTCTTTTTTCTTGTTCGTTTCTCTCATCTGCCTCGCTTCCTGGTCCTCTGCTCTCCTCCTCTCGCGATACGTCGAGGAGGATGAGCCAAAGAACGATGAGACGAGAAGGTGGTTTCCATGGAGACCAACCATCCCGTGTCGGCGTCTAGGATTCGACCTTCTGTCGTCGTTCGTAGATCGACCCAGGACACGGTACCAATCGTAAGAACGTTTCCTCGTTTTTCCTTCTTTTATCTGGCCGCTCTAAAGGTGTCTTTGTCAGTTGAATTATGGGTCAGACGTTCAACGATCAGTTTGGTCATCAACCCCTTTTCCTTCAAAGTTGAACGCTCTATTTATCCATTCTGTAATTGTCGTGAAGGCGTATAAAAAATTTTGAAAAATGATGAAAAATGAAAAATCAAGATTAAAGCGTTTCTTGCTGATTATTATTCTTACGGCACGGTGACTGGCAACTGTTGAATAACTCATTACGGTAGATCGGTACTAAACACGATTATTTTTACTTAGACTTTGCGCACAGGTTATGGAAAAATTCGCTAGTCACGCATTGTATTAACTCGTCGAGAGAGTTAGTTTAAAACCGGAAAGAGCTGTTTCTATGTAGCATATCTAATATAAATGTATCGGGGAAAGATTAACATTTATCACACTTCAATTAAAGCGTAACGATATAATTAAAGAGCAGGATCTATCGGTGAACGTATTATTAATTTATTCGTTACAGTGTACGTATACGTTCTCGATTGACGAATAAGTTCGTCTTTTCGTTGGTTAACAATCGGTTTCTCGTGCAATATTCTCATCGATAGACGGAGCAGCTGGAATCGTTGATGATCGAGGGAATTTCGCGCGAAAGCTGCGAACTCTGCGAAAGAAAATTTATCGGCCGTTGAGAGAGCCAGCTTGAGTGCTCAACTACTTGGCGAAGTTTTCATTAGAACCGGCCCGATAAACTCTCGAAGACTTTGCCGGCTTGTCCGACGGATAATCGCAGTAATTATCCATGGACCGATCTGCCTCGAATACCGCGACAGGGAATTTCAAGTTTGCGGCAGTAACTCCACCGGTACCATCGGCGTTGCACGGCAATTCCCGTGACATTAATTATTGAAATCGCCCCCGGCAACCCTGTCTTCGTCGTTTTCTATCGCCAACTCCATTTCTCCGTCTCTTTCTCGCATTTTCCCTGTTCCCATGTCTCTTCGTTCGTTCGTTCGTTCGTTCGTTCGTTCGTTCGTTCGTCCTCCTGTCTCTGTTTCATCGTAGCTATCTCTCGGTCGGTTCCCGCGACCCGTCGTGCCTCTCAGCCTCGTTTTCTAGTTCGAAGGAAGTCCCTTGGGCGAAGTTCGCCGAGGAGCAGACAGAGACTCCGCCATTTAATATTCAATCGCTCAGCCGTCTTGTCGCTGCTGGCTCGCGACGCGAACAAACGAGACCGATAAATTAATATCGTTGATCGAGCTATTCTATCTTGTTCTTCTTTTCTATCTCTCTACCTCTTCAAGTCTCGCGTTATCTTCTCAAAACTTTACCCTACACTTTCACGCGTCTGTTTTACAAAATTTGTTGACGCGCCATGTGACTTTATCTAATAGCTCTCGTGAACTGACGCTGCTTCTGAATTCCATTAGAGTGTTAAATGATAATGTGGAATCACCGACCTGGGACACTCACAACGGGTACTTCCCAACGAAGACCGTGTACGTA